ATTATTATTAGTTTGCGGCATAAGGTAGTCCAGGTGTTTCTGACACCTATACTCAATTGTTGCAACAAGGGGCCTACTTACTGTAACTATATATACATATATGAATTAGGGGTGGGAATTTAACACGTTAATTGCGATTAATTAATTTGAAAAAATAAATAAATAAATAATAACGTGTTAAAAAATTTACGCATTTAATGCACTTTGCATTCCAAGCAAAGGGGAACTTTTGTCAGTGCACGATTTCCTAGTATACCGATTATACTACACAGCTAGAAAAATGGAAGAATCGGAAGAAAGTGCTTTGCTAGGACTGATCGGAGGAAAATTTCATTTCAAAAGACTACACGACGGAAGCCTTGATAAAATCTTGGTTTTGTGCAAACTGTGCAAAACGTTTGCATACCACCGAAGCACTTCAACCTTATGGTACCATCTAAATGCAAAACATGTTGCAGCGAGCACAGAAACTGTGGGAGCTGTTAGCCCAAGCCAACAAAAGGTGTCGGCAGCCCAAACTTGATGAAATGACTGGTTTTAGGACCAAAATTAGTGAGTCAACAGACAAACTTACAAAATCTCTCAGAGAATGGATTGCTGTAGATCACCATTACTGGTACAAGATAGGGGGTTAGAAAATGTGCTATTTAGAGTCAGGTGATCCAACTTTCCAAATGCCATGCAGAAAAACTATATCATGTAAAATTCAACAGCTTTATGACATTGAAAAGCAAGAAAATAATATTAAATTCGATTAATGGAGATTCATTAATTACAAAACCTCTAGTTAATTAGTAGGGGTGCAACGATACACAAAATTCATGGTTCGGTTCGGTTCGATACTTTGGTGTCACGGTTCGATATTTTTTCGATACACAAAAAATGTTCATGCCTTTTTAATTTGTCGTTTATTAAAATTATAAATATATATTTTAACTCAAAAGTACAGTTTTTAAATTTAATGTTGCTGAAACAACAAAGTAATAAAAAAATAAATCTATCTGATCGCCAAATCACTCATCTTTGGAAAAGAGAGTTTATTACAGAGAAATGGCTGCGTTCGACTACTCCGCCTAGGCTGCACTGTCTAGCGCAGATCCACTGAGCGCTCAACACAGACAGCATCGTCAGAAGGAAAGTTGATAAAATAAATTTAAAATTTTGTATTGTTCGATACATATGCGTACCGAACCGAAAGCACTGTATCGAACGGTTCAATATCGATATGAGTATTGTTGCACCCCTACTATTTTGGTTTTCATGTGACGTATGACCCTGAAGGTAAGCGCGTCATGGACAAAAGTAAAACAGTATGTCGGATGTGCCACACAATGCTCAATTACATTGGTGGGAACTACTGCGTTAGCGCAGTTAGCTCGTTAACGTGTTGGCCGTCCAGCCCCACGCACGGGGTGATCTGCGGTAGCTCGTTAACGGAGATTTGCCGTGTTGTGGCGTTAACGTCATTTCAACGAGATTAACGCTGACAGCACTAGTGGGAACACAACGAATATGACTGCACATTTGACATCATCCTAGTGCAAAGACAAGTGGAAGCAGACAAAAACAACAAGCACGCATGCTACAA